GCCTTAGCCGGTTGAGCTATAGGCGCCGAGCCAGATGTCATTATTTCAACACAGAAGAGGCTTGACTGCCTTACACATGCAGAGGGAAGCAGTGGTCACCCCTAGGTAGGAGGGACCCACCTCTTCCTCTCAGACCAGAGGGAGGGAGATAATGGTGGCATGGACACGTGTAATTTTAGGAGGAGGAACTGCTGCCTGAGCCTCAGTTTTAGCCGGATGTAAGGGGGAAGGTCATCTGCTGAGAGGGATGGCGAGGTAAGGAAGGGGTGGAGGGTCTTACATGGAAGGCGAATGCCTCAACTAGCTGTGGTTACACGGAAGGATTTCTAGGCGGTGTTGCACTGACAAGTGAGACCCTGAAATCACCACGTCCTGATTCCACAGAGCTTTGCAACCTTCCTGCACACAACAGTCGGCAGGACCTGAAAGTTGGAGGCTCCAGTTCCCTTAGGCAGGAGTGATGGGAGGCAAGGGGGAATCTTCTGCTGGGAAAGTGGCTGAAGTGGCAGAGAGGCCCAGTGAGGCCAGGGAGAAAAAAAAGGCAAAAGGCAAGGAGTCCTGAATCCATGGGTCCTGGTGGGGTGAAGGACACAGCAGAGGACAGGCAGAAAGAGTGAAAGTGGATGGCGTGGGGTGGGGCCACAGAGGCGGGGGCCCCCTGGAGATAAGTCTGAGGTGTGGCGGTGGGTGTGGGAGGCAGAAGTGGGGCAGAGGTGGCAGGTGGGGGGAGGCTGCAGGGAGATGAGATAAGTGCAATGACAAACCTAAGCTGTCAGCAGGATCCCGGCCCCGCCTCTGGGCTCTGTAGGGCATGTGGCTTGGGACCCTGAGCAGGCTCCTCACAGGAGGAACTGCTGGCCTGGGGACAAGCCAGGGCTTAGGTGAGTTACAGGACACACAGGAAGGTTTCTGAGGGCAGGGAGTCAGGTCAGGTGGGAGACAACCAGAGGGTGGTGGGCTTCATGGTGAGAGCTGGAGGGAGCCACTTGCTCTGGTCCCGTACTTTCAGGCGGGAGCCTCTAGGGCAGAGCTGGGGCAGGGCTGGGCCCAACAACTCAGTCTCCAGACAGTAGACAAGAAGTGCTCTGACCCTTGGACGGTGCCAGTGGAAGGTGACACATCCCAGGAGTTTCATCCCACAGCTGGTATTTCTTCACCTCTCCGGTCAGCTCCGCTAGCAAACATTTCAGAAAGGTAGCCTCTCGCCTGCCCTCAGAACTGTCATCCTGGCCAAAGGGCAGAGGCCATACCTGATCGGCCTTTGTATCCCTGTCCCTACAAGACTTTGGGCCTGGTACAGGGAGGTTTAAAGTAGTCACATGGTTCCCCCTCCCCAGGCCAGAGGTCAAGGAAGCCCTTGAATGCCACACTCCACCCACACACTGCCTGCTTGTGGCCTTGGATTTCCCTGCCAGCTGTGAGCCATGAACATAAATAATTCTACAGGGTGGACGCAAAGTTCCTGTGCAACTTACTAGGTTAAATTATTTCAAATTGCACATGAACTTTATGTCCACCCTGTACTTAGAAAATCAAGAGAAAATATATTTTAAAGAAAAACAGAAGACAAAAAACAGGTTGTTATATAAATAATGAGAAGAGGTAAAGTAACCAGTGCCTAAAGAGTTGCTTCATGTAAGGCTTGATTAGGTTTGGGTTTGATGATGATGATGATGATATTATATATATATATATATATTTTTTTTTTTTTGAAAGAATACTCAGAGGTAGTGCTATTTGTGTCTTTCTCAGGGGCTACATCAGAAGCACATGATGTTTGCTCTTCCGATTTCTATGACATTTTCATTGATTGCGCCGTCCCAGAGCTGCTGGCTGTGCCCTCCATCACAACACTCCCATTGGAATTTTCCCTAATGATTTCAGCAGCCAGGGAAGACCTGTGCCTGCATTTATTATGCCCTTGGGGCTTTTAAAGTGGTGACTTTCAAATTCAAGCATTTCTCCTGCTTTTATTGACTGTGATTCTTCTCTAAAGAACTGTCTCCCCCACAACCATTTGGTTTCCCCTGAAATACGCCCATGCTGAAAAGGCAGGATAAACCCAAGGTGAAGGGGAACAGGGGCACGGCAACCAGCAGAATGTGAACAGCCAATTACAGATTCTAGCAAATTCTCTAGGACAAATGACCTGAGTTCTCTGACTCATACATGGCATTAAAACAAAAAGGCGGGAAGAACTGTGAATCAACGGAGACGTGTAATCCAAATGCAATATAAGGATTCTCATCCTTAGGCAGCTGGGGGAGACTGACTGCACATGGACAAGGGAGCAGATTATACAAAGGAAGAGCTATGAATTGTGTTGGGCCCAGTATTAGAGATAAGCCCCGGGTACTGGCACCGAGGCGCTGCTAGACATACACAGAGAGGGGCCCTTTGCCTACTTGCGCTGACAGTGGAGACCTGTTCACCGTCCATGGTGAACATATTTTGCTCTGTAAGCCTATATCGTGTTCTCACTCTCTAAACCTACCTTTCTCTTCCTCCATAAACTTTGTTCCATGCTTGCCTTATAAAATACCCCATACCGAGGTATTTATGGGTAAAGGGAAATGATGTCTTAGATTTGCTTTAAAGTTCAGCTAAATAAATAACCGAACCAATCAGTCAAACGTGGATCACTACTAAATCCCCGCCATGGACAAATGAACACTCACCCTATCATTGCATGTTTGTGTATATTTGAGACAAAATAGTAAATATTTTTTTTTTTTTTTTTTAGAGAAAGAGTCTCACTCTGTCACCCTGGGTAGATGTGGCATCATTGTAGCTCACAGCAACCTCAAACTTCCTGGGCTCAGGCAATCTTCTTCCTCAACCTCCGGAGTAGCTGGGACAACAGGTGCCTTCCACAACACTCAGCTAGTTTTTTTCTATTTTTAGTAGAGACGGGGTCTTGCTCTTGCTCAAGTTGGTCTTGAACTCCTGAGCTCAAGCAATTCACCTGCCTCAGCCTACCAGAATGCTAAGATTACAGGCATGAGCCACTGCACCCGGCCATTTTATTTTTTTATTTCAGATTAATATGAAGTTACAAATGATTAGTTTACATTGTTTGTGTGTTTTTTTTCTTTTTTTTGCAGTTTTTGGCCGGGGCTGGGTTTGAACCCACCACTTCTGGCATACGGGGCCAGTGCCCTACGCCTTTGAGCCACAGGCGCCACCCCATTGTTTGTGTTTTTTAGGTAAAGTCCCCGTTGTAGTTGTGTACTTCACCTAGGGGGTGTGCCATATACCCCCCACATTGTGCATATTAGGTGAGAGCACACCAAAAATACTTTTAAAGGGCGGTGCCCATAGCTCAGTGGGTAGGGCACTGGCCACATACACTGAAGCTGGAGGGTTCAAAACTGGCCCGGCCAGCTAAAACAACGACAACTGCAATAACAATGACGACAACAAAAAAATAGCCGGGTGTTGTGGTGAGCGCCTGTAGTCCATAGCATAGTGGTTATGGCGCCAGCCACATACACCAAGGCTGGTGAGTTTGAACCTGTCCCAGGCCTGCTGAACAACAATGACAGCTACAACAAAAAAATAGTAGCTGGGCATTGTGGTCGGCACCTGTAGTCCCAGCTACTTTGGGAGGCTGAGGCAAGAAAATCACTGACACCCAAGAATTTGAGGTTGCTGTGAGCTGTGATGCCGCAGCACTCTACCCAGGCTGACAGCTTGAGACTGTCTCAAAATACAAAAACTTTCAAAAAACTGTGGGCCGAATTTATAAAGCTTATTCCATTTTTCTTGCTAAAAATAATTCCAAATGTCCACTCCAGGCTCTGCTGGCTCATCTTAGTTCTAACCTCTCCTTATACCTACAATTGGGCCTGAAAGTTGCAGATGCTGGGCAGTGGGGCCTGAGAGGTCCCAGACCAGACTCCCTGGAGAGGTACAGTGCCAGGGAAAACATCTGGGATCAGTGCTGTCGTCAGCATGGGGATCATTTATGCAATGGCCCTTTGTACCCATGCCAGCTCCTCCCCCAAACCTCTGCCAAATCAATCACAAGGGCAGGGACTCCGTGAGCTCAAGGGCTTAAGCCTGAATGAAGATTACCTTTTATTACATTACATATGATTAAAGTAAACACAATTTGATTACTTTTTTTTTTTCCTGGTGCATTTCATCCGGAGTTAAAAACCACTGTGGCATTTAGAAAGTAAGTTGATAGTGCAAAAATTTCATCTTTTAATGTAGTTATTCTACTTTAGGAAACAATACTTAAGAAATAACCATAGAATGGACGAAGATAAGTGCATGAAGATTTTAACTGTAGCAGTATTTTTTTTTCACTATTTTCCCCCTGTCGATAAAAGTAATATATTCTCATTATGACATGCTAAGAAAAATATAAAGAACCCCATACTTCTACCATCCAGAAGTAACTATTATTAACATTTTGATAAATAATCTTTCAAACTTTTATATGTATATAAAAATACTAAAGAAAATTAGGTGGCCAAGTATGTTGGCTCACACGTATAATCCTAGCACTTTGGCTCGGCGCCTGTGGCTCAAGCGGCTAAGGCGCCAGCCACATACACCTAAGGTGGAGGGTTCAAATCCCCAGCCCGGGCC